GACTTGCTTCTCCCAATAAGTTCACCCTGTGCAGGTCCAGCTTCTCCATGTTTCTGATTGGTCACAATTTCTGGGTAAACATAGCAGAGTTAATTCTAGAGCCTTTTTTTTTTAATTTATTTTTGGCAGCTGGCCGGTACAAGGATCCGAACCCCTGACCTTGGTGTTACCAGCACCATGCTCTGGAGCCTTAACTGATATTCATCACCTCCTTCCTTTGCCACCTACTCATTCTAGCCACCCCCCAACCCCTCACTCCTGGCTTCAGCGGGTATTTCTGCTCCTGTAGATAGTTTGCCTAGTGGGTTGACCCTGACCCTCATCTCTGCAGGAGCTGAGTCTCTAGTTCCTATGCCCTATCAGGTCATGGCTATAATACTTGCCCATTTACAAATAAAGCTCATTGTGGGTATCTAGATGTGTCTGAGTGCTAAACATCCTCCTAGCACCTGGTGACAACCGGGGTCTATTACCTCTGCCAGTATATAGCAAGCCTTTTCTTTGCCTGCTGGTCACGAGGAGACCAAAGTGACCAGGCAGCAGCTGCCGCTCAAAATTCAGTGGGACTTATCTTAGCTCGTTTTCTGTTGCTATAAAAGAATACCTGAGGCTGGGCAATTTATAAAGAAAAGAAATTTATTTCCTACAGTTCTGGAGACTGGAAAGTCCAAGGTCAAGAAGGTGCATCTCATCTGGTCTGCTTCTGGTGAGGGCCTCGTGCTGCAGCGTAGCAGGGCAGAAGGCATCACAGGGCAAGAGGTGCGCACAAGAGCCCAACTGGCTTTTATAACCGACCCACTCCGGTGATAACTCATTAATCCATTAACACATTAATCCACTAATGGATTAATCTATTCATGAGGACAGAGCCCTCATGACCCAGTGACCTCTTAAAGGCCCCAACTCTTAATACTGTTACGTTGGGGATTAAGTTTCGCCCGTGGAGCACTCGGGAGAGTGCGGGGCTGGGAGCGCAGCAGCGGGTTCGGATCCTATATAGGGATGACCGGTGCGCTCTGGCTGAGCGCGGTGTGGCCGGTCTCAAAAAGGACAAAAAACCCCCCAAAACAACAACAACAACAAAAAAAAAACCCATGAGTTTTGGAGGGCAGAAACCACATCCAAACTACAGGAGGCCTTTTGCCATGTCCCTGGGTAGAAATGTTTCTCCCCACTCTAGAAACCAGGGACTAGGATCTCTAGATCCTCAGGGCCTAAAGTTGGAGGGGCCTAAGCACAAATTCACCAAGGGGCACACTGGGAGTGGTAATGAGCAGAGCCACTCCTGCTTCCACCCTTCAGAACTGAAGCCTCCTGCACCCACCTCCTGGGGCACAGCACCATTAAATAGCCTTAGTTTAAGGTGTGTGTCTCCTTCTGAAAGATGGTGCTGCATCCTCTCCATGCTGGCATCTCAGCTGTCCCCTCCAGAGGCTGTTCCATTATCCTCAGAGGCCAGGAGATTCCGGATGGTGCAGCAAGGGGTAGTATGTCACCACCGCACTTTCTTTGCTGTAAAGTGCATCCTTTGGTCCACAGGAGAAGACGGTAGCTGTGAGCCATTAGCAACCAATACACATACCAGCTGGGGCTAGTGCACTACCAGTAAAACAATCTGGGTGGGACACCAGCTGCACCCATAGGACCTAACTAAACTTTTCCCTATAATCTTCCAGCTATCCCTCTACCATCTTTTTAAAACAGTGTGTTCTTACCTTCCTCATTGAAATGTCACTTCTTTTTTTTTTTCCTTTTTGTCTTTTTTCGTGACCGGCAACGGATCGCAACCCTCAGTGTCGCGCCCGTACCAGACCGGGACCGGCAACGGGATCACAACCCTCGGTGTTGCTCCCGCACCTCGCTCAGCCAGTGAGCGGCAGGTCTGTATGTGGGATCCGAACCCTCGGCGGGAGCGCTGCTGCACTGCTGTAGCAGTGCGCCACCGGGCCGGCCCTGAAATGTCACTTCTATCACATACTAAATTCCTCTGTATACACGGGTCTGTTCTTGGTCTTTCTATTCTGTTCCATTGATCTCCTTGTCTAGTTCTGCATCTTTATCCCAAAGTGTTTTATTAAGCATAATTTGAGGGTAGCTTCTGGTATTTGGCAAAGTCTACTCATCTGATTAGACTCTGTTTATGTGTCACTTCTTTGGGAAGTTCAGGTCACACAGTGGCCATTCGGTAGTAGCATAATGGAGGCTTTAAAAATGTGATTCTTTTCCTTTCCTGGTATCTTATCTAAGAAATAGGGATGACAACCGCTTGCCATATAACCCAGGGTGCCAGAGGCTGGAGGTAGTGGTTACGGGTAAAGAGCCCCAGCTCTGGTGCCTGCATTCAAATCTTAGCACTGCTCCCTACTAGTGGTGGGACCCCGGACCGATCACTTAACCTTGTTGTGCCTCCATTTCCTCATCTGCTAAATGGGGACACAGTACTACCTACTCCAAGAGATTTTGTAAAGAGATAGTGAGTCAATATACAGAAGCAGCTTAGAACAATTGCAGGCCCCTAGTAAGCACTTGAGAAATGTTAGTGGTGGTGATGATGATGATGATGAAGGGGGAACTGCAAGGCTGTGTGCTCCAGGGGGCCAGGGGCCTCTTGGTCTTGGTTGCCATCATCTCCCAGGCTCTGGAATGTGCTGCGAAGGTCCATGGAATTAACTAATGGACTGGGCTGTGCCCTGATGGAAGGTACCTGGTGGGTGGAGTCGGTGACAGCCTGGGAGGTGGGAATTATTACCCCAGTTTCCAGATAAGAAAACAAACTAAAGCTCAGAGAGGTTAAGTGACTTGCTCAAGCTAGTGATGAACAGAGGCAGGACTTGAACCCAGGCCTGCTGACTCATAAATTGCTGGATTCCCAAGGTATCAGCTTCTGGTGAGATCAAATCAGAGATGGAGACAGGTGGGCCTGCAGGGGGCAGGGAAGGGCCTGGACGAGTGGCAGAGCTGATGGCCTTTGCCAAAACAGGCCCTGTGGACAAGCGGAGCTGTGCCCGGGATGGGACTGATTCCTGCAGCTGTGAAGGGTGCCTCCAGAAGGCAGGCATGGTGGGGTTGGGCAGGGGTGAGGCCCGGCCCCACGTCCACCATCCACCTGTGAATAGCACCAGATCGAGTGTCTGCTTCCCTCCTCCCCTTCTGCCCTCCTCCTTCCCCGAATCCAGCACCATGGTGTGGACCACGCCTCAGTGCACCCACTCAATGGGCCCGCTCTAATCCCCTGACATCACCGCCTACCAGCCCTGGCATCCCCCAGCCTTGGAGAACCTGTTGAGGACCCCCCCCCTGGAACCCGCATTTTTCCTTGACCTCCTCCCTCTGTCAGCTCATAGTTCAGATCTGGGACTCCCCACCTCCAGCCCAAGCTGGGGGCAGGAGTGTAGGATCTGCCCTGGCTTTGCTGTGTGACTCCTGGTAAGTAGCTGCCCCTTTCTGCGCCTCAGACTCCTCATCTAAGTCCTCCCAACCCCCAGCTAATCACATTGCTCTATTCTGGCTTCCTCTCACTGTTCTGTCGCTCTAGGAAATCTTGGCTTTATTAGTTCAGGTGTGTATTATTGGTCTCCCCACTGGACTATGTGCTCCATGAGGCAGGGACCTTGCCTGCCACATTATTCAGCCTGCTGCTAGCACACAGTAGGTGCTCCATTAATATCTGATGAGTGAATGTATGGGCCCCCTCCCTCCACGTCACCCCCCAGTGAGGGGAGATAGGGTGGAGCAGCGTTCTAGCCACCCCGGCTGGAATTTGGGTGGGGGTCTGACTGATCACTCTCTGACTCAGAGGGCAGGCAAGGGTGAGAGCAGGACATCCTCTCCATCAGGGACAGGTTGGCAGACCCCTGCAGAGGAATGTCTGTCTCCCCCTACCCTGCCCCTCTGCCACAAGTCTTCTTCAGGGGGTGGAGGAGTGCCTCAGGTGTGTGCATCTGTGTGTGTCCATGTGGTTTGTGCCCGGGCAGAGGAACAAGATCTCTAGTGTAGTGGAAGCTAGGACGTGGCTAGATCCCAAGACTCCTAATGCCCAGCTGCACGCATGTCTGCGTGTCCCTGTATGGGCACGAGGTGTGTGTATCTCTTGTGTGTACATGCCTGCTCTATGCAGGCACCTCTGGCTGAGCCTCCAGGTGTGGTATGTGTTCATGTGTCTGTACGTGTGTGTGCGCTCATCTGTCTGGGACTCTGGGACTCTGGGTGCGAGACTTGTGTAGGTCTGGCGAGATACAACACATACGTAGGCATGACCACTATGGTGTCAGCTCCATGACAGGGGGGACTTTTGTCTGTCTTGCTCCCTGCTCTATCCGCAGCACCTAAAACAGAGACTGGCACAGTGTAAGGCGCCCTGCGTACTTGAATGAATGAATGGAGGGAAGTGTGTGCATGTGCCTGGTGTGTGCCCACGTGCCAACGTGTGAGTGCATGTGTGCGTGCTCCTGTGTCTACAGGGCACCTGCATGTGGGTGATGTTGCTCACACACCACCCCTGCTGTCCCTTTTCCCCAACTCCTTGGGAGCCAGGGCCAAATGCCTGGGTCCCTGTGGGGCGGAGCAGGGGCCGCCTCCTCAGGGGAAACTGGATCCCAGGACGTGCGGAGCGGCAGGGAGTGGGGCGGCCCCTTTGTCCCCCGATAATCCCCTCCATGCCCTTACCCCTCCCTCCCAGCCACAGAGTTTAAGGTTGAATTTGGGAGCTGTAGGGATCTAGGGTACCCCCTCAGCCTCCACTTCCCTGCCTGTTCCCTGTCTCTGGGTCTTCTGTACCCTGAGTCCTGGCCTCTCTGCCTGGAATATATGCTCTTCTGGGTCCCTCCCAAACCTCTCCCTGTTCTGTCCCATGGCCGGGTCTGTCTTTTATTCTTTGCCAGGACCCTGCCTGCTGCTTGCCCCCTTCCCCAGGGCGTGACTCCTTCCCTCCCCCCTGGGCAGCCCCAGGTATAAAGCCACCCAAGGGACAGGAGGACAGGCACCCTGGAAAGACCCAGAGACTGCAGAGAGGAAGGAAGCAGGAGAGAGCATGAGCTATCTGCTGGGTGAGTGAGCAGGCAGGGGTGCCAGGCCTCAGACACCAGGACGGGAGGGGGCACTGCAGCCCTTGGGCTGTGACACGGGTGCCTGGCTGTCCTTGCATCTGCTGGAAACCTCCAGATCCTTCCACATGGAAGATTTCATTCACCATTCATCCAACAAATATTTATTGAGTATCTTATGTGCTAGGCACTGTTCTAAGCATTTGGGGATACCGCAGTGACAAACAGACAAAAATCCATGGCCTTATGGAGACGTCATTCTGCAGACACACAATACATGTAATAAGTAGATATAATGCCAGCTTGATAGAAGGTGGCTTGATGATCTAAGTTTGTTGAATGAATGAATGAATGAATGAAACTTTTGGCCTTCTCTTCATTGGTTCTGAACTTCTGGGAACTCAGGAATGTGGAAAGGGTAATGAAAGTGACCATCCTGGGGTTGCTTCATCTCCATCACTTCCTCACTGGTGACCTTTGGGAATCCCGTCCTCTCTGAGCCTCATACCACAGGTGGGGCCAGACCTTTGAGAGAACAATCTGGCAGCATCTATTCAAATTTAAAATAAGCATGCCCTCTAATCCAGATATTCTCGTTTTATTTTATTTTTTATTTTTTTGGTGGCTGGCTGGTATGGCGATCCAAACCCTTGACCTTGGTGTTGTCAGCACCACGCTCTCCCAAGTGGGCTAATCAGCCAGCCCCAAGATATTCCCATTTGAAAAGCACCCAAAGAGGCTGGGATAAGAATGTTCATGGCAACATTCATTCACTCATTCATTCATTCAACAGATGCTTATTACGGGGAACCAGCAGTGAATGAACCAGGTGAGGTTTCCTCTTCCTTGGAGCTGATATTCTAGTTGGAGAGGCAGCAGCAAGCAAGTAAACAAATAAATAAATGAGGGAGCTTCAGATAACAAAAGTCTCTGAAGACGAGAAATCAGGGAGAGGTGCTTCTGATATGATGGCCAGGACAGCTTGTCTGAGCTGAGACCTGAAGGACAAGGAGTAGTCAGTCTCGGCAGGTGTGGAGGGCAGTCCCGAGGGGCCACAGCAAGGGGAAGGGCCTGCGGGGAAAACATAAAGAAAGCCAGGGCAGAGGGCACATGCCTCTGCAGGCCATGCTGAGGACTGTGTTTTCATGCTCAGTGAGGCGGGGGCCAGGCGTATGCTGGAGCATGAGGCTTATGGCTGGACTTGGGGCCCTGGGATGGGGAGGCAAGGCTGGAAGCAGAGGGACTAGGGAGGAGGGCACCGTCCAAGCAAGAGGTGATGGTGGCATGGACAGGGTGGGAGCAGTGGAAGGAGGGAAAGACTGGATACATCTTTTCATCTTTTAAAACTTTTTTTTTTTTCCTTTTTGTCTTTTTTCGTGACCGGCAACGGATCGCAACCCTCAGTGTCGCGCCCGTACCGGACTGGGACCGGCAACAGGATCGCAACCCTCGGCGTTGCGCCCGCACCTCGCTCAGCCAGTGAGCGGCCGGTCTGTATGTGGGATCCGAACCCTCGGCGGGAGCGCCACCGCACTCCCAAGTGGCGCACTGTAGCAGTGCGCCACCGGGCCGGCCCTAAAACTTTTTATTTAAAGTAACAAATATACAGAAAAGCACACGTCATAAGTGTACAGCTCAATGAATTTTCACAACATGAACACATCCTTGTAATGAGCACCAAGATTGATCAGAAAACGTTTGCACTGGCTGCCTTTCAAAGATAGAGTCAGTGGGATTTGCTGTGGTACTAGATGTGCAGAGTAAGAAAAAAAACGAGGCTGCAAGAGGACCCCATGGTTTGGGCCTGGGTAACTGGAAGAATGGAAATGCTTTACCTGAGATGGGGGAGTTTGGAGGGGAGGGTTGGGAGTCAGAGAGGGGATGGAATCCAGAGCCTAGTATTGGATATTTTGAGTTTGAGATGCTTAGTAAGAGCCAAGTGAAAATGTCAAGTAACAAGTTGAATACATGAGTCTGGAGTTCAGGGAGCGTCCTGGTAGAAATAATTGGCCTACAAGGAGTTCTGCCCTGACTTGGAGATACAAGACAGTTGTGGGACACAAGGGCTGTACCCTTTGGAGGAGTTGCCAAGAAGGATGAGTGAATGGGCAGGCAGGGTCGGGCCTTGGTGCTGACCTCTGATTCCTCTGCCAGCTCCCCTCTGCCTGCTGACCCTGCTGCTGCCACCCCTCAGTCTGGCAGCCCCCATCTCCCCAGCTGAGCCCATCAGCCAAGCCTACAGCCTGGCCCTCTACATGCAGAAGAATACCTCAACGCTGCTGCAGATTTACGTGAGTGACGCTGAGCAAAAGCAGGGGACCAGGGGAGAGGGGCGCTGCCCTCCTGGCCCAGCCTGGCTGGGGGAAGCACAGCAAGCCCAGGGGAAGTTTCTTCTGTGGGTCCGAGGGTACGGGGCTCATTTAACTAGAGACACACTCACTCGAATGCTGTCACTGATGGCCGGTGACCTTGGGCAAGTCATTCTTCCTGTCTTGATCTCAGCTTCCTCATCTGCAAAATGAGACGGTGATCCTGCCTTTGCTGACCTCTCAGGACTGTTACAAGGTTCAGAGAGAGCATCTAGAGGGAAGGGCTTTACATAGCCACGACGATTTCCAGCTCATACTGTGTGCTCACTTGAGCCCTATGCCATGCAAGGTACTCTATTCCCGTGATCTCATTGACTTCTCGAACAGTTCTGGGAGGTGGAATTATACACAGTCCATTTTATAGATAAGGAAACTCAGTCTTCAAGGGGGTGAATAATCTGCATGAGGTCACAGAACTAATAACTGGCAGTGCCAGGATCTGAAACCAGGTCTTGAAATTCTGTGCCCCCAACCACCCCACCTCACACCCCACCCCACCGTCTAGAAACTCAAACTGCCAGCTGCTGTCTGGGTCAGACCCACAAATATTTTTTGTTAAGCCCACACGGTGTCTGTTCAAATTCTGAATATGAATGCCTATGTAAAGCAGGCATAGGGATCCTCTTGGTCTTAACTCCCACCCCATCTCAGTCCTGTCTTCTTCCCAAGTGACATGATCAGCCTGGCCCTGGGGGCCCTGTAATACATTCCAGGACCAAGTGAAGTTACTCAATCTACCTCCTAGTCCCATATCCACCACTGTTCCCTGGATAGCCTTGAGCACCCTGAGCCTCAGTTTCTCCACCTGTAAAATGGGTATGCAGGAGTAGGTGATCAACCAATTAGGACATTTCTCAGTGTGCATTAAGATTCTGTGGGTCTCAGTTTGTGGAGATGAGAAGTTTGATGGAGAAGGCTTTTAATTAAATATAATAATATTAACAATGATTTATTAACAATTATAGTAAAGTTAACAAACATAAACAACTAAATATAAATTAAAAAGAAAGCTATCAGGCTGTAACTACGTTGTCAATAATATATGTGGATTGAAAATACTATAATAAGTAATTAATATAATCACATATTAATATAAATATATTATTAATTAGTAATGGCTTATCACACCCTTCTTGTATGTTAGATGCTGTGCTAAATGCTTTACATGTATTATTTCTGATCATCCACACAATAACGCAGGCACAGGGGAATTGCTGAAGCTTGTGACTCAGCATTGCACATCTAGGACATGGACGATGACAAACTGGAGCCAAACTGGAGCCTAACCGGACCCTTGCCCTGTGTTAGGACGTCCCAACAACTCTCTGAGCGTTAGTGAATGGCGACTCCAACTAGCAGGATGCCAGTCTCAGAGGGCAGATGTGAAGTCAGGGTCCCAAGTACCCCTTTGGTCACTCCTGTCTGTGTCTGTCCCTCATGCAGCTCCAGTACCAGGGCAGCCCCTTTAGTGACCCTGGCTTCTCAGCCCCTGAGCTGCAGCTGCTCAGCCTGCCTCCTGCCGCCATCTCTTTCAAGACCTGGCATGCCCTGGATGATCGGGAGCGGCTAGGCCGTGCCCAGGGGGCCTTCCTCGCCTTGACTCAGCACCTCCAGCTCGTGGGAGATGACCAGAGTGACCTGAATCCTGGCAGTCCCATCCTGCTGGCCCAGCTTGGGGCTGCACGACTCAGGGCCCAAGGCCTGCTGGGTAACATGGCTGCCATCATGACTGCCCTGGGGCTGCCTATCCCCCCCGAAGAGGACACTCTTGGGCTTGTCCCTTTTGGGGCCTCAGCCTTTGAGAGGAAATGTCGAGGCTACGTAGTGACCCGGGAATATGGCCACTGGACAGACCGCGTTGTGAGGGACTTGGCTCTGCTCAAGGCCAAATACCCAGCATAGAGAGGTAGGACTTTCTGTCAGAGGCTGCAACACTTCCTCTTTCATAGCACTCTTTTCTGCCTTGCTTCTGGGCTAGAGAAGGAGATACGTCTTGTCTAGCACACAGAACTTATGTGCTATGTCTTTGGGAATATTTCCTGAAAGCCAGGCCTCAATCCCTTATTGCCTGGGTCTTCCTACCCAGGTCCCATGGCCTCCCTTTCCAGATCTGGGTGGGTTTCCCCAGAGAGCATTTCATGGACTACCAATCCAGTGGTACTGGTTGCCCACTTCCGGGCTGGAAAGAAGTGCCTCTCTCAAGAGGCTTTTTTCCCCCTTTTTTTCCCCACTCTACAGGGAGGGGACAGTTGGTCTCCTTCAGGGAGAGCCCTGAGATCTCCTTTCTGTAATTTTGGGAGACCCAGGGGCTGCCTTCCTGTCTCCATCTACCTCACTTCCTGTGTGAAGATACGCCCTTTCTTTTTTTTTTTTTTTTTTTTTTTTCTTTTTTCGTGACCAGTACCGGGATCGCAACCCTCGGTGTCGCGCCCACACCACCCCAACCAGTGAGCGGACCGGTCTCTATATGGGATCCGAACCCACGGCGGGAGCGCCACCACGCTTCCAAGCGCTGCACTCTACCGAGTGCGCCACCGGACCGGCCCAAGATATGCCCTTTCTGAGCAGATAGGCCTCCCTTCTTGTTGGAGTTCACTTCCTCCCCTTGTCTACCTCTCTGCGGCCACTGTTCTTCAAGGGACTTCACTTCCTGATCAATAGAAATCCAATTCTTAAAGAACTAAGGACACGAGTCACATCTGTTTCTTGCTCAGGGAACGTCTCTTCCTGTTCTGGGCTGACTATTCATACTGTGACTTTTGGGTTTGTCTGAGGGACCAGGCTGCACCCCGGGGATCCTATTCTCCTCAAAGCTGTGTCCCCATTTTCAACAACTGTATATACATACAAGTAACTTCAGTTTTGTGTTTATTTTTTAGCATTTTATTTACAAAAAGTTAATTTATTTTCAGAAACAAAACTCTTTTAAGGCGTTGCTCTTTTTCTCTCCACAGACCTGGCTTGGGATGGGCGTGGGGGTCGTGCAGGGATAGGGCCGAGGAAGGTGGAGGAGGAGAAGGACATAAAAGGGAGAGGAGGCAGGGCCCAAAGGGACGGATGGGACTGCGGAGAGTGAGGCGGCAGGTGGAGCGACAGGGGAAGGTGGCTGCAATTTGTCTGGAGCTGCCTTCCCATCACAGGACCAGCAGGCACGTCCCTGGCCAGGAAGGGACAGAGAGAGGAACAGAGGGAGACAGAGAGACGAGGCTGAGATGTACACACGCTCACATAGGGCTAAGGGAGACAACAGATGGGTACAGAGAGAGAAAGAGAGACCCGAGAGACAGAAAAGGGGGAGACCAAAGAGACTAAGGCAGACCCAAGGATGGAGAAAATGGGAGGGAAAGCAAGAAAATGGCAGACCCAGGGGAAGCTGCACGCGGAGACAAGGGGGTCCAGAGGGGAAAGGAGAATGAGGACAGATAAAGAGAGACGGCCGCGACAGGGCGGTGGAGACCGGCAAGGACAGACATGCCTACAGCGACAGGGACGCCTACAGACGCTCAGGCCGGGCCCCCGGGCACCAGCTGGCCCAGGTCGCCCTCGGTGCGGCTCACCCACTCGCGGTAGAGGCCGCACACGCGCAGCCCCAGCACCTTGGCGGGGAAGACGCCCGCGGCGACGGTGGCGGTGGCGGCGGT